GGTGAAAGCTGATCCGGCGATCCACAGGTGAAAGTTGATGTATTCCCTCAGCGACCAGCACGGATCAGCTCCAGGCATAACGAAGCGGATATCGTCCTCTTTTGGAAGACCAAACAAAGTAGTTTCGCTTACACAACGAAGCACACAGCACCTTCACGACATGGTGGCAGCGTCAACAATACTACAGTGAGAATAAAAGTCACAACCTTCTTTCTTTGCGTGAACATTTTGGGCAGTGTTATGCAAATCTTCCCACATAGTCAGGTAGCTATGTGGGGGCGTGTTAGAATGAGCCGTTTTAGGTAGGTGTGGCTGACTCTGAACTTTTATAAAGAATATCTCTTTGGATTTGAGACTTTAGTCTTTGCAACTTTACAGATCTTCTTTATGCACCAAGAGCTTGTAACACTCCAAAGAGAAAGGAAAAATTTAAATCGCATCATATGACCCCTTTAAACTTTACAAGTGACAAATGCGTTCAACATTTAATTCTGCATTTCTTTAAATATAAATATCATTTGATTTTATCCATTATGCTCGTTTCCTTTTTGTCACGCTTATTTTTATAGTTTGCTTTAATTTTTCCTGGTTTGCTATTAATCGATGTTATAGCCTGAGGCTGCAGAAGTCAGCACAGAGTGGAACTAGTGTGAAGGAAATAATGTTTGGTCAGATTTAGCAACACAATTGTGCCATGTTTATCCTAAACATGTTTTTACAAAATGCGAAGCATCTAATATTTGAACATTTGAAGTTTAAATATAAATAAGCTAGGGGTTGACCGATACGTGTTTTTCAGGGCCGATGTCGATACCGATTATTACAGATCAAGTAGACCGAGAACCGATATATATGTCTGGTGTAAAAATGAAAATTTGTCAAAATTAAGAATAACAAGGTCTCTGACAAAAACTGCCTTCACCTGGTGTTGGTTGAGTGTAGTACTCCCACACTGTACTTTTTACTCGTCTTCCTCTGTCCATCCATCTACAATAAGGGTAATTTAAAGAGAAAGTTAAAAGTGGGGCCACTGTATGCTTCATGATTAAGCCTATAAATACTGTACTACAGTTAAACAGCTTGGAAATGTAAGTATTTGGCTTCAATAATATACATGTTAGAAATGTATGTGTAATAGCATAACCTCTCATAATTCCTCATTCATTCTTTTCTGATGACTAAAACATAATCTACAATAGCAGAGGTGACTATTCAATTCATCTAATGCACATCAAAGGATTAACTTAAACAAATGTATATCATAAGTGTACATTTAATTGTCTTCATAGCTATATTGTAGAAGTTAATAAGACTATTTTAATGAAACTATAACACTAATAGCCTTTTACAGGCACACTTAGTTCAATAGCCTATTGAAATGTCTTGGCCTATGTGACACTAGAAATTTCAATTCGTTTTAATTTACAGTACAGTGCAAATGAAGGCATAAATCAATATCTTTTAATCAAATGAGAGATTAACTCTTTATTTTTTGGCAAAAGGGTTTACTATTAAAATTAAAAGATGGAGGAAATAGCGTATTGTGATTTATTCTTTTAAACAAAAGTTGTAATTGTTGTAGTAGTATTATGCATGTCATACTGCACCACAGTAATATATTTCTGATAATTTCTTTAAGCTAACCCAAACTTATATTTTGACGGACTGTGTATGTGTAGAAAACAAAACACCATTTACATACATCTACAGAACATGCAGAATTCATATTTAAATAGTATTTTTGCTGCTTAATATTTACAGATACTAGTCCATATCGCGACTATTTAAGTGTACTGACCTACTTTTGATTAATTCATCTAAACTTTGACACATTCCATGACATTCCGCGTCATACAGTAAAATTCCATTAATATGACTGGATTCCGCGATTCCGTCCACATTTTCTGCATCGCGGAAATCATAGATAATATTGAGGTGTTTTGCAACTTCAGTGTAACGTTAGTGGATTGTGATTTATTGCAAATTAAGCAACGTCTGCTGCTGCCTTACCTTTGAGAGACAACTGATGCGTGATCACTGAAGCAGCTCCAGTTAGCAAGCGCTTTTGGAGTATTTTCCGTATTGATTGGTCGGACTCGTGACTCCCAACAAATCAGATGAGCAGTGGGCGGAGATTGCTTTAGGCCACAGAGTGGTGAGTTCTGACAGGCTGCATCAGAGCCAAATAGTGCGTTTCAAAATTATTTTATCGGTTTTGAAAATGACCGATAATCATAAAAATGCTTAATATCGGCGCAGATAATCGGTCGACCCCTTTAAATAAGAAATTAAATCCAAACTAGTACATTATGCACATTTAGATGGTCAAAATTCTTTTTTTATTTATATATATTTTTTTATCTAAATTTAAATAAATAAAAAGCTTAAACTCTTATATACACACGTTTAGGTTTAACATGAACATTAAATTTAATAATTTATGAATTGAAAATATTTATTAACAGTAAATTTATAAAGTTTTTTAATGTCACTATTTAAATGCTTTATTTTAGCTTATTTATTAGTTGTTTTTTTTGTCGAAACA